ACATTCTCTGACAGAGGAGATAGATTTCAAATGAGGGTCATTTGAAATTGCAAATAATTCTAAACCTTCTTGCATGCCCTTTAATTCCTAAGGAGTAACCTGGGCTCAGAGGAAGTGATCAGCTCTATAAAGGAAGGTCAGTGCTTCCCCTCCAACAATACCACCCGTCCTCAGCTTATGAGCCACATGCAAACGCTCTGCTTCTCCTCTACTGTCAGAAATGACAGTGCGAGTCCCTCTGTGATTCCTTATGAAAAATGCATAAAGTTTCTTTCATGTTTTCTGACTGAATGGGTTCACTCACAGCAAACACATACAAAAATGTTTCATTCTACCACCACCACCGACCAACTCACATACTCAATCTAGCCAACGCTCTTACTATAATTGTCCTCTCTGCAATCTCTGCCTCTTCCTCCTCTCCTCTACGAACCATGCTGCAGTAATGAAGTCCTCCTAAACAACCTGTCATTCTGGACAGGTTTCCTCCTGTTCCTCCTGCCCTCTTCCCCACGACAGGGACAGGATGTACAGTATATCCCAGGGTGGAGACGCAGTGGAGGGAGAAGGAGGGGGCTGCTAACTTGCAGTGCCAGCTGGCATGGAGAGCTGCCCAGCCTAGCAGTGCTAGTTTCTCTCCGCCACCTGCTCCACTGCCCTCCTGCTCTGATACCTGGCCCTGGAGGGCCAATCTGTCATTATCTGAAGATAAAGCACATGATATGTTTGTGTTTGTTTGTTTGTGTGTGTGTGTGTGTGTGCTGATACGAGCATATCTGCCAACCCTCCTTCCCTTTCCATTGTCACCTCTCCGTTGTCCTCTGTGTTCTGCTTTCAGTAAACCTCCATGGGAAAGCGGCATTGGATTCCCAGTCCCGCTTGAGTTGCAAATGGAGTTTAAAAGGAAAGGTGTTGCTTTGAGATAAACGACAAAAGGTTTCAAATTTATGCCTACTTTACCTTTAGCATTCATGTGCTTTTTTAAACTCAGTTTATCTATTTTTTTCTCTTCTTATTTTGCGTAAAACAAATTCATTTTTTGAATATCAATTTGGCCTTCCATTCTTTATTCCCTTTTTGTGTGCTTTGTTGTATATAGAAGAGTCTAAGGGTGCGTAGCATCCAGGCTTCTTTGTACCTGGTCATTTGCATTCCAGCTAAATGTCCTTCTCTTTGCTCAGGGCCAATGGATGGTTATATTAGCAGTGTCTGAAGTGACCACTACTGTCACTTGTGCGTTGCATCCACCTCTTTTGCGACACTCGCAACCTCTGCACTGATCCCCTCTTAGCATCATGCAAAGAGGGTTTCAGGGATGGCCATTGTCCCAGAGAGTTTGGGCGTGCAATGAGAGGGCGAAAGGAAGGGAGTAGAGGTGACGCTGTTATTTGTTTGCAAAGTGCTTTTCTCATGTCACCCTTCTCTGTCCTCAACAAAGTGGCTTGGAGAGGGAGGTAATGTGACTGGGCTCTCATGGGGAAAGGTTATCTACTGTTCCCTGTCAGCTGATAGGACAGGACAGGACACTTCAAGTCCTGTAAGGCTCAGAGGCTTTCACTAATGATGCTCTTCAATTAGTCCAGGGTCATCAGAGGTGGAGAGAGGCCTCACACGCATGAACCTGTATCACATCATCAAACAGATCACACACACTCACCTGGAAAGAAACAAGAGACGTCAATCGGAACACACATGTTAAGTTTCCTGACCTTTTTCCCTGCCACAAGGTCTTTAGAGCACTGCTGTAGTCTGATGATGTTGGACCCTGTTGAAGTGGATAGCGGAGCCAGCAAGTTTATCGGAGCCACAGTTTACCGCCTGACAACACTGCACTTTCAACTGCCAAACGGTTGAAAGATGAGAGATTGTCCTAGAATGGCCAGGAGCAGCCGCACAAACATCTGCAGACACTTGAACTCATATAACCCCTCATACAAACAAACACACACAGAAATCATGCTGTGCACCATTGCAAGCTCCTGCAGTCAATTCATCTCGCTACTCTCTGGCTATCAGAACCCTGCCATCTGAAGTGTTTCCCCGAAACAAGCTGTCTGACCACAAGATGTGATCAATCTAACATATATCCACATGAACCTGTGAAAGGGATGGTAATGGATTTCTGTCTTTAAGCATGACTCACTGCTTCTCCGCTTCTGTCTGACAACGGGGGAGAGCATGGAAACGTCTGAAATCAAGCCAGGAGTGCATTTATTTTGTTCTAAGTCAAAGCCTAACATGACGCGATAGAGGAGGCTGGCCACAGCTGATCTCTTGTCACCTCCTTTAGCTCTCAACTTGCCATTTTTTCCTTCAGTTTTGAGAGTTTTATTTTTGTGTTATGAGGCACTTTTTTTACTGTTGTGTTTGCCTCTTATCCAGTTTTATATCCATGTAAATATTGGATCATTATTCTTTCATCAACTATCAAATCTTCTCCGCTCTCTCTGCCTTTTCACCGTTTCTCTCTCATAATGTGATGGTGCGCATTTTATCTAGCTTGAAACACTTCATTATCTTTAATTGGCTGTTACAGTTTTGGGGAATAGAGGCTGAATGGTCCAGTGATTTCTGTTTAGGTGGATTTGGCTTGGTTGCCATCTTATACAGTTTTATTATTACTCAGCAGGCACCATTACTTTTACAACAGCTATAGGATTTGCATTAATCGTGTCTCTAAATATATTAATAAATAATATGGTGTGACTCACATACTTCAGTAGTTTTGTGCGTTTCAGCCCAAAACGGATTACTCAGATGCTCTCAATCTGGCTTGTAGAAATCTCAGTGAACAAACAAGAAGCCACGCAAATACCTTACCCACAGTCGGAGGAAAATGAGAAATTGTTTGACATTTCTTTGATGCCTTACATACATCATATCAAGATAAATTTACCTGTGGTATTTACGCAGGTTGGGAAAACGCTGTGTATTGTGGGGAGTAAGTTTTTATTTAGAGATATTGACAGAAAGACAGAAGAAGAGAAGAGAAAGCAAGAGGGTGGGGGGAGGAAAAGTTACCCTGTTGACCCATGTGCAGAAGCAGAAGTCATGGTGGGAGGCAAGGAAGGATTTGATTAGCAAACTAATGACATCAGTCAACGCAGTGTGTGCACGTTGTGTGTGTGTGTGTGTGTGTGTGTGTGTGTGTGTGTGTTTGTGTCCCTGGATCTGCCTTTGACACACAGTCACACTCACACATTCTCAGAGGCAGTCAAAAGCTCCCCTCAGTTTTCTGCTGCCTCTCCTTGCTGCAATGCCATTCTGCATCACTGGTGCGGGGAATTAGTTCTTTGTTACTGCTGTTTACCACCCTCGTTTCCCATCTCTGAATCCCCATCCACCTGGCTATCGACCCAGCTACAGTGAGGCCGTCCATCTACACCTCCGCTTGCTGTGTGTATATGTGTTTGACAGTGTGTGTAGGTGGTTGGAGGGGGTGTTTTTTGCAAGCATCTCATAATTGCACTTGTGTTTACATCTGCTTCTTTGTGTGCATGTTTTCTTATTTTGTGTGTGCTTCTTGAGCTGCTTATCTCAGTTTTAGTCCCATACGTTTTGTGTGTATGTGTATTGTTGCAAATGAGACGGTGTACGTGTGTGTGTGTGTGTGTGTGTGTATGTGTGTGTGTGTGTGTGTTTGTGTGTGTTTGTGTCAGAGAGTGTAGCCCCAGGGTGGCTCAGCACAGGTGAGGTGGTGGCAGGTCTGTCTGAAGTACTTAGGGCAGACAATACTTAGAGCCATAGGTTGTGTCTTCACTGACGGTTGAATTATGTGGCTAAGCAAACAGTCACAGGTACTTACCTATGCTGCTGACACACACACACATACACACACACAGATACCTGTTATTGTGCTTGTAGCTTGTCATAACGAACTCTGCTGCAGAGGGGGGTATGAACAGGAGTTCAGTCACAAACCCTTTGGACTCCTTGGTTATCTGTCTGAGTGACAAAGTTGGCAACAAAAACCCACACAGGAAGTGGGCCATATGTCTGGCGATGGTGATTCAAATTTGCTCTGTGGGAGTATCCTGGAGACCCAGGGGTCTGTGTCTGTGAAAAAGAGAGAAGAAATCGTACTGAGAGTGTGAAATGCACAGGCTTGTGCATTTTAAGGCATCCTACAATGTTGTAAAGCAAGTGAAATGCCTTGCCACGTTTTGGGCAAACTAGTCATTTGAGAAGGCAGAATTTTGGGATAAAGGTTGTACAAACACACACACATGCCTTATAGGAGTAATGGAAATGATAACATGTTGATAGAAGTGGGAGGACGCAGGTGTTCAAATATTTGGCCCTGGCCTGTTGTGTCTGAAACTGTTACTCTCATGGTCACCCCGCATTCATTCAAGTTCACACAGAGATGCATGTGCCCCTTAAAGATACATAATATGAAAAAGTAATTATCTAATTACAGAGGAAACAGATTAAAATCAATATATGTGAGCTCTTCTATACAGAAATTCTTCCTCAGGCTACAGAGGAGGGGCAGAGAAATAGGTGTGACAAGGAAGGTACAAAAGAAATGACAGTGGGCAAAATGGATTTGTGGACCTTGAAGAAGTGTTAGCTGTTCATGTCGTGGTGTTAGTCTCTTTAGCACACCCCTTTCTCTCTGCCTCACGTGTCTGATTCTAGACAAGAGAAAGAATATACAAAATCCACAAATGTGCACACATCATATCCATTTATATGTTTAGAGGAAAGAGAATGACTTATGTTCATGTACTTGGCTTTTTCAACTGGGAGAGATTGATATTCACGGCTTCTCCTCTTGATTCTAGTTTCATGCCCAAACCTGCTAATATAATTTACTGAGGTTATGCATCCTGCCGGGTACTGAGCCTCTGCTGAATCCTAAAAGAACTCCACAACCACCAATACCTTCATCCACACTGGAATGAATAATCCCAATTTAGGCCTGTTTCAGTTTCATCTGAGAGTAAGAACTGATCTGCCAGTCACATCCTCCTCTCTTTCTCTTTCTGTCTCTTCAGGCCTGAAGACCTACCTGATCTCTGGCAGGAAGGTGGAGCCTCACTCTCACTGTAGCTGCTCTCAGTCAGGGTTGGCTGGGCCTGAGCATGCAGATCCTCGGTGCCCGACTTCCAGGGTGCACACACCTGATGGGGCCCCTTCAGCTTGCACCTTGCCTCCGGACAGTGTCAAGGTTAGCGCACGCTATCTCTGGGGAAATTATATGAAACATCAGCCATACTGGGGAGGAAGCAAGAATTTTAACTGCATATCTATATTGCCTGAGGAAGAACACGTTCTGCTACAGCCTCTTTGATGTTCATCTGCTTGCTCTCTGTGTAGTTTTGTTTATGTGGGTGTATTAGAAGCTTTAACACATATGTTTCATTTTTTTACATGCAAGGAATGTCTCAAGTGGAGGAAGTGAAAAACAAAAGTAGAGTTTTTCAACCCTGTCATTACCAGGCATCTGAATTTTTCCATTTGTTCTGTTTTTGAATGGTTTTTACCTTGGGTACATTGCAAGGTTAGAACATCATTGTTGATTTCCCTCTTCACTTTGCGTGTACCTTCGTTCCTGTGCTCACATACATGGATTTGTGTAGCACCTCAGGCCTCATTAAATCCTTATCACAAAGAATCTGACACCAAAACAAGAATATCTTAATAACTGGACAGTGAGAAAAGGTGTTCTCCCCAGTAGGCAGTCTACTGACCCATCATCATGTTCATCTCATCAACCCAGATCATGTCCATCCAGTGTGGCCTCTTTAGTTTATTTGTATTTTGTGCCACTGGGTCACCGACTCACCAAAACTGTGCAACACATTATTCCCTTATACATGCTTTAAATTCACCCCAATTAATCCTCCTTCTTCTTCCCCATGGTCCCTGCACAGACGTTTTAGCTCTCTGCCAGGCTAGATGGTGATGGTGGTGGGGAGCTTGGGGACATAAACAGTCAGAGGACGATGACTTGAGGGAAGAGAATCAGTGGGGGTCCTTTGTATGGTAATGAGTTAACTAAAGCAGAGAGACGGGAAGCCCCTTTCGAGTCTTTCTGCCTAAGACTTATGATTCCTACACTTCTGCGAGGTACAAGTACAGCTACGGTCACGCTGAAGAATCACACTCAGGGATCGTTAAAAAAAGGTTAATGACATTTGAATGTGCGAAAGGATTCATAGGGCAGGCGTGGTCATAAATGCTTGCTCGTTTAATGTAGCATGTAGGTGTAACACTATGTGCTTTCACTGTGTGTTTCTAATTATATATGGTGTGTGTGTGTGTGTGTGTGTGTGTGTGTGTGTGTGTGTGTGTGTGTGTGTGTGTTTTGGCTTCTCAATACAGTGTACCTTGCCCATGTCAGTGTTGTTCATAACACAGCTTAACTATCACACAGATCTTTTTCTCATACTCACACTTTCCATTCTCTTTCAAGAGGATGAGTGGGATGAAAATAAAGACCTTGAGCTTGTGTAGACCTCCTCTTGTTTACTCTCCATATCCTTTTCCGTTTCTCTTGTTACCATTGTACTCACTGAAATAAATAATAGTAAGATAATAACAAAAATTATGATAACTGCATCCCGAGTTTAGGTCACGAGCTTTGTGTTCTTGCTACCCTAATGCTGTTGGGATCACAGCTGATGTATGTGTTTTGTCATTTTATTATCCCCAAGACTCTTGCTCTAGACCTCTGCCATCTTTTCATGTTTTTATCTGCTCATATCCTTTCCTTGATCTGTATCTCGCAATTTATTAAGTCTCTTTTATCTTTCCTGCCCCCATATCTTGCATCGTCCTCCATACTCCATCCCCTCAGTCTCCCTGTCTATCCTGCAGTGTGGTCCTGGTACCAGGGGAGGATCAGGTTCTGGAGGAAGGACCAGTGCACAATGGCTGTCATGACGATCAAAAGACCAACAGCAGCAGCAAGGTTAGCGTGTTGTTGTTACTGGAAACAGATGAGACTTTAAATAGTTAATCTAAAATGATACATGTTTTGAGTTTTCAGTTTAACCAAGAGCTTGGCACTATTAATGTGTTGTCCAGTATAGGATATTTATGTAGTTTTTTTTTCATCACGTATCAGGGCATGGTTACATTCACTCAGGGCCAGCGGCAAAAAGAAGGACTCAAAAGTAGTTCAAAGAAGTAGAACTCCATGAACCCCAGATAGTTCATGGAGTTCTACTCCATGAACTATCTGGGGAATGTGCCAAAGACACATGCATTTAAATTGCTGTGACTGTAGCATACTCTTCAGCTTTATATTTATTCATTATTGCTGACCTATTTCCAAAGCAAAGACACAGCTTTGTTTTAGAACTTCAGGTCTTCTCTCTCCCCTCTCTTTGCCTTAGGAATCTTCAAATCTAAAGTGTTCCCCAGTGGTTTCTGCAGGCCGCGGCCCCAAGGCTCTGAACGGCCTCCTCAGTCCTCAGCTGGAAGCCTTGAACAACAGCCAGACGTCACTGTGTGAGATGCTGCAGGAGAAGGAGAAGAAGACGTGGAGCGGAGGAGCCATGGGCATGGACCACTCAGCGCTCATCCCACTACGCTCCAAGAACTTCAGGGAGAGGAGCGATGCTCACTTTGTGGATGTTATCAAAGAGGACAGGTTAGAATGACCTAAGAATAAATACATTAAACAAATCTGTAATATTTAAACTGTCAATCTCAGTTGTTAATGTGAATTTTTCAGCCAATGGTAAAAAAGCTGATGTAAAATGAACATTCTACTGACTTTTATTCTGTGACAGCCTTATGAAGGACTATTTCTACAGACCACCCATAAACAAGCTGAGCCTTACCTTCCTGGAGAAGAGCCTGGAGTCTGCTTACCGGATAAGCTATCAGGAGGAGGTGTGTGTGTGTTAGAGCTTTTATTTTATTGTATTTTGTGTTTAATGGATGTTCATGCATATACCGATGTCTGTTTATTTTTCACTTTTTCCATGAATGCTATGAGCTTAACGTAGTTGTCTTTGGTGTGACTGTGATCTGACATTTGTTCAGAGTTTTACAACAGTGCATTTTCATGGCTCCAGTCATCCAGTCTCTGCTGTCTCTATCTGCGAGCGTGAAATCTACGTGTGTGTGTGTGTGTGTGTGTGTGTGTGTGTGTGTGTGTGTGTGTGTGTGTGTGTGTGTGTCATTTCTGTCTCCCTGTTTAAGTTTTTCTGTGTGTCTGTGTTTTCTCTGGGAAGCCTCTTATTCCTGTGTTATGACCAGACTGCTCAGGACTGCGGCAAAGAGAAATCACTGCAGGACCTAGAAAGTACTTTTGTATTAGGTTGTGAGGTCCTCTGCTGGTGTAACCTCAGATGTGCATCTCTGATGGCTGCAACTCTTGCTATATCTCTAAGTCTAGTGTCTGAGTCATTGACATGGTAATTAGGATAGATTTCAGTGGAGTCTTATATCAATAATTAAATCATTGTTGATTGCTGGAGAATTCATTTTCAACTCATCCTAAATGGTTGTTGATTGTGCAGTTATGCAGCTGCTCCTTGGTTAGCTTGAAAAACCTTCTTAATTACTACTTACTTGTATGTTTATTAATATACCTCTGTCTGTCTCTCTTTCCCTCCCAGGTGGAAACCCAAGCAGCAGTTCAGACTTTTGCCAGTCCAACATTCAGTTCTTTTCTGGACATGCTGCTCTGCTGTTTAGTGTTTCTGGCTCTCTCACTGGCCTGTTTCCTTCGACCGCTTGTCACCCAGCAGAATCTGTCCACACCAGCAGTCATTCTGACAGCTGTGGCCACCTTGTTGGAGGCTGTTGCTCTGCTGTTTGCTATACGGTGAGATGTTGAATATATACAGTAGTAGCCTACAGGTCTGAATGTTAGGTTTGAGTTTTGCAGTGACCCAAGAATGGACTCAAACGTGCAGGTGGGAGCTGGAGAAACGGTCATTTAATAACAAAATAATGCTGAGGGATTTGGGAAGTGTGGCACAGGAGTGGAGAGTGTGGCAGAGAAATGGTGGTTTGAGTTGGTGCAGAGTGGTGTGGCTCAAAGTGTGGGAGACACTGGCAAAGACACATTAGCAAAAGACACAAGAAACACTAGAAGCTAAGTTGGCTGACAGTATGTTACACAGCACAGTAAAGACAGAAATAATCTTGCACTAACTGACTGGAGACCAGGAATATTTCAGGAGGCTTAATGAGATTGCCAGGGGGTGTGAAGATGAACCATCTGCCCAGAGATGATGACCACGCCCATACACATACATACACACATGCCACAAGGGAAAAACAAAACACATAGAACAAACACCAAAATATAACAGGAGTCACAGATGAACTTAAACTAATGGCCCAGATCTACCCTCCGAGACGATGTCAGAGGACCCTCCACATGATTAGAATTTATCGTTACATCTGGGCACCAAATCTTTTTTTTCTCTGTTTTAAATTTTTTCCTGTTTTATTTTAGAGTAACTTCATTTAAAGGCAAAACACAGCATAAAACTGTCAGTTTACTTCACATTTGACATTTAGCAAGCTGCTCCTAACTGTGCAACTTTAACAGTTCAGCTGTGACAAACTGCACTGTGATTTACAAATGTCCTTCTTAATATAAGAAGAATAAAGAATAGACGCTTAGAAACTGTCTGGACGAAAAATAGTTTTAAGAGAAATGGACAATTAATTATTTTTTTGTGGAGCTGAATGAGACTTGTGTAATCTGTAAGGAGAAAGATTTTTCCAGGAAAACAATCGAACGGAGCACATCTTACTAGTATGCGAGGTACAGGGGAGAGGAGAGGGAAAGAGAGTTGCTCAGTTTTGGAACGGTATATAGTTAAAAAAATATATTGTTATTGTTGTCTTATTGTTTGTCCTACCTCCAAGTGATCCCCTCAGTGAGAACAACCTGACCAGGTCTCGGAGCGACAATAAATAAATTGACTTTGAGTGACAAATATATTTGTCACTCAAAGTTGGTACCCTGATATTAAATTTAAACTGACCCTACGTTGGTGTTCATGTACTGAGAAGCTTTGTGAATACACTCCAAGGCTGGAATCAATTTATTATTCAGGTTGGGATTAGGGACACTCAAGTATCAGATAAACACTTAATTGACATTATTTTTAATACATCATAATGATCTGTATATAAATCACAGCTTCCTGTTTTTCCTTCCCAGTATGGCTTTCTACCTGGACAGTGTGCTGAATTGCACTCAGGTGCTGATGAGAGCGGTTTCAGGCTGGATAGCACGTCACTTTATAGGAGCATTCCTGGTGTCCTTGCCCACTGTGGCCGTCTTCTCCCACATACCCTGTGACATGCATCTCTCCGTCCAGGTTGACTTTAAATGTGATATTTCTTCTATGTTTAGAAATGGATCACGAGTGTTGAAATTTATTCCCTCTCATTAAAATTCTGTACTGTAAGAGGTGAGTTTTGCTTCTGACCAGTAGAGCACCTCATCTATTGTGCTACCATGCTTTCCATCTCTGACTGAATTATGTTCAGCATATGTCTTTAGTTGTATAGTATGTTAATATAGTTTACAGTCAGTGTAATTTATGTGATAATCTCATGGGCTCTTTTGACTAACGACTCCATGTGCCCCATATTTTCCCCAGTTCACCATGTTCATCTGCTGTGCAGTCATCATAGCTATAATTCAGTACTGCAACTTCTGCCAACTCAGCTACTGGATGCGCTCAACTCTAGCAACTTTGGTGGGACTAGCACTGCTTGCCTTGCTCTTCAGCTCCCCCTGCAGGTATGGAATACTGAAGAGAAGATTGTCCAAAGATTTAAATGAAATGCATGTTCAGTAATAGTGTAGAGACAATGTGGTGACACTGGGTTACTCCTTAGAATTTTAAGAAAATATTACGTCAGTGTTTGAAAGTGTGGGATTTCTAGATGAACTTGCATTAATTTGTGCTATTTGTGTTCATCTCTTCCAGTGCCGCTAACAGTCTGTTTTCTTGGTAAGTGGGATGATTACTGTCAGTAATTATTCCTTAATAAATTGTATCACTTTACTTCTTTTTGTTAGACAGTTGCTAGTAACCACTCTTGTATGTTGCCTGCATGATGCACAGTTGACAATTTTGTTATGTGCAAGCAACTTGCCAAATGCTTCCATAGTTGTGGTGTTTATTTACCGCAATAGAAGCTGCAAATATATTTTCAGACTCATAATATTTAGTCTAACCTTCTGTTTAACTATTTTCCTGCATTTCATTATCTCTCTCTAAACCAGGTCGGGAGGCCAGAACAATAACAGCAACAGCTCTACCGTCATGTCTGACAGCCCAGCAGACCCAGATCCACAGCCCAACCCACAGGACCTACTGGGCCCTGAGGCCTGCGTGGCCTTTTTCCTGCTTCTTCTCCTGGTCTGGTTCCTTAACCGTGAATTTGAGGTCAGTCACCGCCTGCATTACCATGGTAACGTGGAGGCTGATCAACACCGGATCAAGATCCAGAACATGAGGGACCAGGCCGACTGGCTGCTCCGCAATATCATCCCCATCCATGTGGCCGAGCAGCTGAAGGTCACCCAGAGCTACTCCAAAAACCACGACAATGTGGGTGTCATTTTTGCCAGTATTGTTAACTTCAGCGAGTTTTATGAGGAAAGCTACGAGGGAGGCAAGGAGTGCTATCGTGTCCTCAACGAGCTAATTGGAGACTTTGATGAACTGTTACGGAAGCCTGCCTTCTCAAATATTGAAAAGATCAAGACTATCGGTGCCACGTACATGGCAGCAGCAGGACTCAATGCGCAGCAGTGTGCAGATGCGGCACATCCTCATGCCCACCTCCGCGCTCTTTTTGATTTTTCCCTGGAAATGATGCATGTGGTTGACGACTTCAACAAGAACATGCTGGGCTTCGGCTTCAAGCTACGCATCGGATTCAATCATGGGCCCCTAACAGCGGGGGTGATTGGCACCACTAAGCTTCTGTACGATATCTGGGGCGACACAGTCAACATTGCCAGTCGCATGGATACTACAGGTGTGGAGTGTCGTGTCCAAGTCAGCGAGGAGAGCTATTGTGTGCTCAGTGGCATGGATTACGAGTTTGATTACCGTGGCACAGTTAACGTCAAAGGGAAAGGTCAGATGAAGACTTTCCTGTACCCTAAGAGCAGTGACAGTGGCCCTGTGCCTCAGTACCAACTCTCAGTCTCACCAGAGATCCGGGCACAGGTGGATGGTAGCATCGGGCGCTCCCCCACTGATGAAATTGCAAGCATGGTGCCCACAACTAGCATAAATTCAAGCAGTACCAATACTGCAGTGCCCAGTGCCAGCTCTTGTTCCTCTACTACCATAGGGCTAAGCCATGAGAAAGAGGTGGACAGCCGTGAAAGACGTTCCTCTACAGAGACTTCTCATAGCAGGCGACCTCTGTCTCACAGTGGCATGACATCTACACATGTTACCAACCGAGATGGCCATCCTCCATCTGCAAATAACAAACAGCTCATCATTTCATCCTCGGCACAGCAAAATACTCCCCAAAATTCCACAACAATGTCCCAGAAAGACATCAAGAAGGACAAACGCGAGGATGATTATGACGGCAGTGTTGGAGAGTTAACCAGGCTTTAAGAATTTGCTACAATGGCGCTTTTATCATAAATCCTCTACCCTTTAAGCTGTCGTTCCTGCCAGCTGGAATTTGTAAGAATGGTTGCACATTTGGTCCTACCAAGAGAGGAAGACCCACAGGCATCTTTCCTGCCTCAGCCTGGCAGCAGGTTGTTTTTAGTGTAAATCTGATTGGCTGATATTGTCAGTGGAGGGTGCTGGCTTGACCAAAAAGTGAGCATCCACAGGCAGGAACACACAGAGAAAACAGGGAAGATGTGATGGCTGACTCTGAACCTTCTCTTGCCTGCTACACATCCCGTCGTCTCCCATTAACTTACTTGATTATCTGTACACCTTTAATCTTAATTATTTCTTTCAAATGTCTTTTAAGTGCCTTTAGAATAGAATAATGTGTAGACTAAGCCTTTTTGAGTAAGAGAGGAAAAACATAAAGGGAAAACTGTAAATAAGCACATTTTTTGGAAAAGAGGCTTTGCTTTTGTTACAATTTTACTTTGTAAATTATGTTTTGCTATGATATTTTGCCTTTTATCAAGGAAACTGCAGCAAGCTGACCTTAAATATGGAAAGTGCTACAACGTGAGGAGAGTCACAATATGTGTCAAGTGAACATAAATAAGATGTTACACCACGATACGTATTTGTAAGATTCTGCACTAGAATGCTGCATAGCCTGTTTCCATGAACAGAAAACCAGAAAACTTTTCATGAAAGACACAACAGAAGCTAATCAATACAGGCTAAGGGCAGACGAGGCCGTTCTGCGTTTTGTGTGAGTGTATTTGCATGTGTACGGTGTGTGAGCGTGTGTTTGTATGTGTAGTTAAAAGGTCGTGGGGGGTTTAATGAGAAGAGGTGCCTATGAGTTACTCAACTGACTTGGTGAAACAGCAGGATGACAGTTTGGGAACGCAGTTGAGAAAAAATATCTTGGTTGCTGATGTGGCAGTTTTTTCTCTGGCCTCGGTTAAGATCTTTGTATTGCCTCAGTACTGAGGCATGACAGCCTCAGCTACTCTTAATCAGCATGCTTGCAACAACAGCACCGTAGATGAGCTGTTACCAGTGTTTGTGCCCTCCCCCATGACCCAGGCTCTTATGGGAACTCAAGCTGTGATTAGTGTTGATGAGTATTTCAATTGATCCTACAAGGCACTGCGCTACCTGTAGAGTGACTGTAGCTGTAGATCAATTTAGAGAAAACAACTGCCTAGGTTTGCTATGGATTACACTGTGTGTTAGTTACTAGTGCTTTTAAGACATGGATAATCAAAGTGGAATGTCACAAATCACAACTAAATGTGTTTTATTGTAAACTTGAACTGTTCATGTGAAGCCTTTCTAATTTCTTTAATTTAAAGACATTGCTGGATGGCCGCATTAGCTGCTTCATACTTTCAATGGCATGAAACTTAATATAATAGCATTGTAAATGCAAAGGCAGTGCACCAAATGTATTTCATATTATTCCTGAGGTGTTTTTGCTCTTTCTTGTCAACATTGCTCTGGCTGTTACATTTTCTTCCTGTCACTGTTTCTTAGGAAAAGGGATTGTGTGCTCAGAGGCAAAAAAAAGTTTTACCATGAAATCCACTTCTTCGGATCTTCTTTTGGACATTTAAATATCCTGAACTGCACATTAACCTCATATTTTAAATTGCCATTTCATAATCAGTAATTTTAAGTAATAAAGGTAACACGAAGAACCACTTTGCCTTCTTTTATCATCAAATAGTTTATTACAACTGCCGCATTCAGTATTACCCTAATAGTTAAATAATGTGTTTGCTTTGAAATGTGTGAAACTAGGGTAGCTTGTGCCTTTTAACTTTGAACTTTGAACTTGATTTTCTTTATATTATTTTCCACTGTCTCCTCTAAGTTTCTTTCATTTCTTAAGACACTGAATATTTGTCAAAAGCTTATGGTATATGCATAAGCAGGAGAATGTTTACTTTGGCGCTTAAATTACTTTTGCGTAAGTTTTCTAAAGTCATGAAATTTGAGCAGTGCCTTTTCTTGCTAAACACAATTAAATGTAAACACACCAAACATATTCAACATTAATTGGCCTTGTTGCAGTTTTTGAATTCCTTTTTGTTTGGCCTTTGTGTACTGTATGTATTGATCAGATGGAGTTTGGTTGTTTGAAATGCAGTAATAAAAGTTTAACATCGCTTGTTTGAAAGCTAAAATTACCTTATTTATGCTTATGAGCACACAACCCTTTGTTTATACTTCAATAAAGGGACACTTAGAATCATTTTGTTGTTAATATCCAAGATTAAGTGCTTGACGTGTTAAGTGAGGTCATGATCCTTGAGTGTCAGCGTATAAGCTACATTTCTTCTTTCTTCTTTTTTTCTTGGTAATTTTGATAAACTTTTTTGAATTATGCATTTTTATAAACTTTTTTTCTGGATTAGGATTTTATCTGGTCAAATGAGATAGAGGTGTAATTACTTGCCACTTGTTTTGTTTTTTTTAATTCCCCCTCCACCCCTTTATGTTTCACTGCAAACATGAGCTTGTTGATTTGCTTTGATCGAGGTGTAAGCGACATTCTGAACAAGCAGAATGGCATACTGAGAAAATGTTGATGCCAAAGAGTGTCATTGCCATTTTTGTATGTTATGTCGTGTCCCCTCCTTAATTTGTAAGATGTGTTGTACACGTTCAAGAAAGCTAATTTATATATTCACTGTTATAATACATTTGCACAAGGCACTCATTTCTTTGTACAGTATGCCTTTATATTGTATAGTATCGGAGCATTTTATATTATTTCTATAAGCGCATCACTAGTGTATTAAATAGTCTAAAGAACTGGGTAATTTTAACAATGTTGGAATAATACTTATGTGTTGATGTACACACCTGCATGTGTGTAAAAAAACTGTTTGAGTAAATCTGCGTGGTTGTGTTTGTTTGGGAAGGGATGCTCTAATCTTAGCAGGATCATGACCTGGACATTTTAGTCTAATTATCATCTAAAAAAGTATGACATGCTAGGATATTAAGGCTTCCAGCTTCAATCAGCTTTCCTTTTCCTTTTCTTTTTTTAATTCAAACTGGTGAGACACTACTAGATGTCTGCAGGTAGGCAATATTTCAGTTGCCTGCTACAGCGAAGTTTTAATGAATTGACTGATTTCTTTGAAAATGTTTTTGTATATAGCACGCTAATAGGTATGCAAGTGAAGGTTAAAATTTAATAAAGTCAGTTGCTGAGAATTGTTGTCCGATTGAATTTATAACTCGTACACTACATCTGATTCTGTATTTACCAGTGGTGGGTTGTAAACGTTCTCAAGTATTCTTCAAAAGTAGCCAAAAACTTTGAGGTATTTGTACTTTAATTGGGCATTCTGCTTTATGCTGTTTATGATGTATTTTGTATTATGCTACTCCAATGCCTTGAAATTTTACTTTTACAGATTAAGATTTTACATAAAACGACATTAGATCAGTTTATAAAATATAAAACACTGTTATAGGTTAAACTACATGACTCATGATTAAGTAGCTTAAATTTGTTCCACCGGCTGCTTACATGTGAAAGAATCAGTAATGATAATCCAATAATATATACAAAATAACAGGGACTGTTTTGCTGCATAATGATGCTTGCACATACTGATGATACATTAAATTAATTTGGACTTTCTGTAGCCAATTTAAACTTATATTATATTATATTTATATTATATAACTGTATATAGCAATGACTCACGTTTTACAAGCTGATAATATGCTTTGTATGCTTAACAATAGCTGTCAGATAAATGTTGTGGAGTATTAGTAAAGTACAATGCATGAGTTGCATAAAATGGCAATAATCAAAATGCAAGTACAGTACTTAAATGTAGGGAACATTAGTTACTTTCCACCACCACTGGTAATGCAATAAGAATAAAATAAATATAAGCTATAGGAACTGTTGGGTATTTAAGTTTTGTTGTTTGTGTATTAACCTCGACAATGTATTGTTTTCCCCCTAAATTGAGTATTTTGTATTCGTTGTAGTGACTGTTATGTGTTTGTAGAATTTGAAGCAGGTAGCACTTAAAATTTCAACTTAGTGGTTTTATTCCTCCCCCAGAGGCAATTTCACGTACGTCCACATGACGCACGGTGGGACACAGGTTTACGTCAGGGCGTCATAGCGCGACACCTCCTCCTCCTCCCCCCACAGTCTAGCTGGGAAGAAAAAAAAACTTTTTTTGTATCGGAGGAATCAACAGCCGCCATCTTGACGCGGCTCAGAATCGGGATTTTGGGGGGAGCATTAATTTTAAAAACCGATCGGAGGCACTCAGACTGGGCTCAAACGGCTTTTTTCGTCTAGAAAATCGAAGTGTTAGTCCTTCCGATGAGAATTAATGCAAACATGTGAGGATTACATGGGTTTTTATCGTCTCGAAAGCCCACTGTATATTTGATTTCCCTTTTAGAGAGCGCCGCTTCTCGCCGTATCTCCGTTCCGAGACGCTGTATTTACCAGGAGACAGCGACGAGAAAAATAATCCACCTCATAGAAAATATTTTTTGAATTTTGCTCTTTTTATTTAAGCCCGAGATAGATTTTATGGCCGCTCGTTTCGACTGCGAAAAAAATGATTCTGTACAGACGTGAAACCGGCGATCTGCGGAGAAAGGGATTTGCTTACGCCTTGTGTAATATTTTATGATTGATTTTTATTTATTTTTTTCGAACTTAAATAATTTTTGGACGTAATTATTGAGGATAATTATGTGGGTGTTGGGTGTTGGATTATCATGGGGTGATCTTCGGTGGCGAAGCGTGGCGCTGTTGCCTTTCTTTTGAAACCTTTTTCTCCAGGCAGCATTTCGCCAGTCTGCCGGTCCAAAAAAAAAGCCCAACAAAAAAAACCAAACAGTTGAATTGCTCCTTTACGCGCAAAGTTACCTGTTATTACGAGGTAGAGGCAGATAAGTTGAACTGTTCCTGCTGATATTTTTCCTGCATCATCATCCATTCATAAATCCGACCAGGATGGGTGACAATCTGCTAGATGTCGGACCCCCCACTGCAAAGCGACCCAAGCTGAATTCACCTCTCTCAGGATCAGATGGCCCAGGTAAGGACAGGACACGGTTTTACAAATGTAATTTACTGACAAGTAAGGTGTGCTAACTGGCAATGACGTTTATGTTTAAAAGCCCTGCACAGTCTTGCTCCTTTTTTTTTTAGACTGGATGCACCCGCCTTTAGGTGAAGCGCTACGGCCAAGTAAGCCCGTCAGCTACTTCAGTGGTGCTGTGCAAATATCACAGGGAAACTGTACATAAAAACTCCCTGAAGGATTGTTTGATTACATCTAGAATTGGTGTGAAAAGTGCAAACTCATTGCTTCTTCTTCATCACACGAGAATTATCCGGCAGAAAGAGAGCGCTCCCAACTTTTCCACCTTTAAGGGTTAAAAATGATAACTTAATAATAGTGTTTAACTTACCCAACATCACATCACTGAGATACAGGTGAATAAAATGTTGAGCGTACATCTGCAGGAGACGTGTCCTTTTCCCCATTAACACCTGGGCTGGTGCTGTCTTGAGTAACATTCATGGCACCTGTACATTTAGTAGCCTACCCACCAGCACAGAGGAGCATGCTGCCTCTGTAAGCTTGGAGTTGGATTGGACTTTTTTTGCACATTGACACCTCAACAGTGCAGACTCTTGACAGCACAGGCAGTTGAACCTGTGTTATCTTATAGAAAGATTCTCTCTCTCACCACTAGGTCAGCGTGCCACAGAAAGGATCAGCCCCTCTTTCATTCAGCAAAAGGCTTGAAAAATGATATTTGGGAAAAAATCTTGGAAGATTACATGTGTGTGTTACCAGCATCTAACTTTTCTGCTGCCAATTTATTTGGCTAGCAAATGTGCATAACACACACATAACCAGTAAATGGTCTCCCGGTGTTGTCCATGCCTTCATTTGGTTAATGTGGTTAGTGGTTGAGGCAGGAATATGGGCATTTACAGGATTGTTTGTTTGATGTGACAAGTTTTAGCTTTATTTATAATTGATTTATCCCCCAGGATACAATCTTATACATCCCTAATTGTATGACCTCAGGGACATTTGACAGTGGTCATTATATATTCTAGTTACCAACTATTATGACCATGTCCAGGAGGAGGCCCTGAGCGTGTAACAGGGGCATTTTTGGACAACTTAAGCGCTAACATAAGCCCTTTTCACCCACATACATTTGCTGGCTTTTCATTAAAATGCTGTGTTGTGTTTGTCTGTGAATAAAGACATGAGTCAATATTTTTCATAGTGACACTCCCAGTTATTTGATTGAAGCGAGGAACTAACAGTTTGAACCCATCAAACTTGAGATATATTTTTGACCGACACTGACAGTCACTAAAAATGGGAGCTGCTACCCATTGGAGTCAAGATGAAGCAGAGTAATAGTAATTTCGAAAATTGGCACCAGAGTTCCACATTGGCGGTTTCTCCAAAACTAAAAACTGACTTCTTTTTCAAACATTTACCAATACTTTCAGTATCTCTTTGTCTCACCAGGACCTACCCTTACATGTATGATACTGAATAGATAGTGACTCGCACATTGAAGAGAGAAAACTGCTGATGCTGTCTGAAAAGTGGACTCTGCCATTGCATAGGTTGGAAAAAAAAGGATTGATTTCTCAAGAGGAAAGCAGTGAAAGGAGTAACGTTGGGTGGCTATGTTTTAAGGGTAGAGCTGTGACTAACAATTATTTTTATTGTTGGTTAGGCTGCTGATAATCTTTTATCAGTTTAATTGTTTCATCCATTACATTGTCCCTGTGTCCTGGGTGACGTCTTGTTTTCTCCGACCTACAGTCCAAAACCCGAAAAGAGATTCTGTTTACGATGGTATAAATCAGAGAAAAGCAGCGACACTGGAGAAACTGCAAGAAAGATTATCAAAATATTTGCAGATTACGTTTCATGGCCGTTGACTAATCGATTATTTGACTAATCCTGCAGCTCTATTTAACAGCTGACAACTTCCCAGTGAACGTCTTCTGCTTTTACTGCAAGAGCGTATTTTTGAGTTAAACTGTTTGTTTTTTTTATTTACAAAGGCTGAAAACAATGGTGTCATGCACCACTTTCACTATGCTTAAAAGCTAGTGGTAAAATACTGCTTGTTTCTTTATGAGCCATCCAGTCAAGGGTCCATCCAGCACTGTTACCCTGCTTGGCACATCCTAGTTGTGTTTGTGTGTATGTGTATATTTACTGTGTATGGAACAAAGCTTTGATGGTATTCTTTGTGCAGTCGCTAGCACCAAGCATTGAAACAGCATGTACCGTCTGAAGTCAGTTTTGGTATTGCACCACCACAGCCACTTCTTAACTCTTGTCTTCTGGTGAGTACATAAAGACGAGTGCAGTCGCTTAATTTAAATGGCATTGTAGATCAGAAACATCTGTCATTTACAATCAGCTGAGAAATGTGACGTTTCTTTGTTCGGTCTGTCTTGTCTTCTGTGGGCGGATGTATTATCTAGCCAGCTGACAGTCCTCGGTCTTCAGCCAAGGTAGCTCATCTTCTCAGACGGGTGACAGGAGCTTTTGCTGGGCAATAAAGCAGCCCGACACTGAGACCCCTCTCCCTAACTGCCTTACACACACACACACATTCAGTAACACATTGCACAGTGTCTCTTGTAGACCTGCTCTCTTTGAAGTCATGGATGCAGCTCAGGGGCTTAAGTACACTGAGAAGATTTTAAGTGCCAGGCTGCAGATGGGAGGATAAGCACATTTTTTTTTTCTCCTTGAGTTGAAAAAGGCCTAATTCTGAGAAAATTAGGAGCCTGTAGCGGGCAGCCTTACTCCTTTTACTATGCCTTTTTTTTTTTTTTTTTTGGTTTGTGCACACATACGTTTACGTGTTTTCACTGAATTGGAGTGAAGTAGCAAATGTGTGTATAGAACAGAACATTACAAAGAAAGCAAATACAGACGACATTTATTTTGGATAGCACGTGGATATTAGTTTTCCCCACAAACCTGTAGTCTGACAGCACACTTAATCCTGGATACCCCGGATCTTCAGATCTCAATTTCACATCTTGAACCCTTAGACCTTTCAAAGAGATTTCAGACCACTTAAATTCAGATAATGGTTCTTATAAAAATATTTAACTGCAATAAATTCTGTGGTATTTAAATTTTAAAATTAGGTAATCAGTTGAT